AAACTACGGGAGGAAGCTTTTCCCAGTTCTACTAACCTTAGGCAGTTCAAAAATCGTATTAACAAAATTTCTTTGGGATCATCATAGCAGCCGCGGTGTTCCGGCATTTAGGCTTCTGCCTGCGCGGCTGTTTCGATATAAAAAAAAAAAAAAAAAAAAAAAAAAAAAAAAATGATAATAAAAAACCTGGGTATAAAATTTTCGCTGCTAAAAATATACCAGTGGCGAGGTAATTGGGATATTTGGAGCCCTAGAGAAAATAAAACATTCTACGCCACTGACATTTTAATATAAACTCTTCATTGAGATATTTTTGTCAAATCATTCCTCTTGAAGAAAATTGTGTTGCTGATATCCGTGATATTTGACAAATCGATCTACTAAAATACTAGTAAGATAGTATTTTTTTGGTATTCACTTCTTCTCCACGAGCTGATCGTAACTCGTAGTGGCCTACCAAATGTATGTGTACAAGCGTTCCTAGAAACATCTAGCTAGCACTTAGATTTTATTTTGCCTAGTTACGAACGTCGACCCTTCTCAAGCAAATAACAAAGGTTGTAAAAGACAGCTTCTGAAAATATTTGCTTACGCAGGAATCTTTCTATTATCGTTCTTTCCCTTCGTTCACAGTCCCAGACAATTTGCTTGACACCGAGTCGCTACCTTGAGTTCATACAGTACGTTTGTTTCACTTTTTCGTTATTACTACCCATCTGAAATCCCTTTTTAATGGTGAAAAGAAAGCCGCAGGGCACGGAGCTTTCAAAATTATAGGAATATGTAGATATGCAGGGTGATTCTAGAATCAGTTGCAGAAAGAACTAAATATAAGGGAATAATAATAATACAGTTCCAGACATATAGGTTCTTTCATGGTTTTTAGGGGATTACAGTAAAACTACAGGAATTACTTCGATACATCCATTTTCCTCACACATACAGATGCAATTAACCTTCATGCTCGAAGGTTTGTTCGTGTAAGTTCACAGACATACTTTTGTTAGTTTTGTCTCACTGTCTGCAATGTCTGTTGATGTCTGTGTTAAACTTATTAGATTAGATTATTAAGTAAATGAAAACTACGTTTTTCTTTCACACAACTTACGGGTATGCGCTACGTGAAATTTAGCACCACGCATGGTATAGTTAGCTACTTATTTCTTATGACGTGACGTAATAACTAAACCTATAAGCCCTATCATTTCAATTGATCAACAGCGTGGCATTACGGTAAGTTCATTTGATACATTTGTTTTATTACCATCTCGTCTGATCAACATAACGTCGCAGGGTAACAACGAATTAGAATAGGTTAGATGGTTTGGCAGTATTTATCGCCAAAATTACGTAGATATAATGCATAATTTTGGGTATAGTTGCCTTCCGTTGCTCACCAAAGTCATACACTTCACGTACACGTATCCTATTTTCTTTTCAAAATGTATTCTAGTAGCCAATGGTCCGGAGGTTCATTGTATATCATTGTCACTAATTTGCTCCTATACGATTGTGTGTGTGATTTGATTGAGTTCAAACAATAGACGCTGAGGCTTCTCAACAGTATCTCGTAGCATTGAAATGAGAAAATGTATAACATTCAAATTTAAAGTTATGGTGGTCTCTTCCAGACTCCATCAAAAATAATGATTATTCTCCAATATTTTTCAATGTCATGTTAGGTATAAAATGTTTTTAACAAACCTTAGATTGGGAATGAAAATTCAAAGAAACATAAGTGGACTGAAATTAATCAAGGTTACCTCACCAATATCCAGGTGAAAGCCCAACATTGGTGTGGAAGCCCTTTCGCAACGCCGACGACAATAATATATTAGCGGATATCAATAAAAGATCTATCTACTTGAATTAATCTTAGACAGCTTTTGGAAATTCACAGAGATTTTCACCATTTTTTTGGCAGTTGGAACACTGTCTGTTGGAAGCCACGCACTATTATATGTTTCCGCATCATTCTGATGACATTCGTAGAGCGACGAATCTCGTCCATGAAGTAAGAAATGCACTCGATGAATTCCGTAATGAGCACTGGAGCAACTTTCTGGCGGGGATGCTTGAATCAAGTATTCCTCTCTTAAAAGTGGCAAAATCGCTCAGAAACGGAAGGTAATAACAACTACCACATATTCATGATCCTGGCGGCATAGTTTCCAGGACTGAGGATAAAGTGGAGGTTTTTGCTGACGTCATGGAAAGGCAGTTCTCTTCCAATTATGATCTGGACAATGACCTTGACAAGGAACAACAAATTGTAAGATCTGTCAGGAGATATTTCAGAACGAGTGGCGACAACAACGTCAGCGCTAACATCGGTGAATCCTTTTCAGAAGATTTTTCTACGGACGACTCTTCAGGTGAATCTCAGCAAAGCACGTCATCGGAATCCTCTGAGGTTCCGTTTGTACACCAGCAGAGCTCCAACCTAATGGTGCGTAAAGCACCTGGAGAGGATCAAATCACCAAAAAAGCACTAAAGTTGCTTTCGCTCAAGATTTTGACTTATCTGGTGGCAATAATCAATGCAATGCTCAGAACTTATTACTTTTCTAAGGCGTGGAAGATCACTGAAGTCATCATGATCCCAAAGAAGGCAGGTTCGATATTCCCCCAGGATTACTGTCCCATTAGCCTGCTGTCTAAGCTTGCTGAAAAGGTGATTTATCGTCAACTTGAGAATTTTTCAGATCACCATGTGATTCCTGACGTGCAATTTGGCTTTCGGTCAGCATACTACGGAGCTACAGGCAGTTAGACTGGTGGAGCATGTAACCAGGGGGTTCACCCTGAACAAGAGTACTGGTATCTTGCTTTTAGATGTATCATAGGCATTTGATAAGGTGTGGCACATGGGCCTCTTGTATAAGCTCATCCAAAACGCGTTTCCATTTTGGCTTCTAAAACTGTTGAAATCTTTTCTAGAAGGACGGAACTTTCGGATCAAAATTAACAAAGTGTTGTCACGGCCCGTAAGAGCCGGTGTTCCTCAGGGTTCGGTCTTAGGATCAATCCTATCTCTATGTGGATGACACTGCACTGCTAGCTCAGTCTTGTTCTGGTAAACTGGTTCACGACAGGCTGCAGAGTGCGGTGGAGGAAGTATTGGAGTGGGCGGATCGGTGATTGATCAAAATTAATATCTCGAAAACGCAGGCAATCTATTGTACGAAAAAACGTCGCGGTGCCCCCTCAGAGATATCAGTGAATGGAACTCGTATACCATGGAAACAATCTGTCAGGTACCTTGAACTCATCATTAAAAAGGGGTTGACCTGGCAGAATCATACTGTTATTGTTGTGCAGAAATTCAAAATTAAGTTTGATCAATAAGATTCGGTTGTATAAAATGTTCATAAGACCCACAATCACCTACGCATGCGCATTTGGTGTTTTCTTGCCAAGACGCACATACAGAGACTGCAAGTCCTGCAAAAGAGAATCCTACGCACAATCACTAACGCCCCTTGGTACGTGTCAAATGAGACCATTCACAGAGATCTTGATATCCCATATCTAAGGGATTATGTAAAACAACAGGCACAGCGGCGTTATAATCAAGCCGAATCGCACAGCAACCCTCTGTTCCGTGATTCAGTAGACTACACAGTCGATCAAGTTCGCAAACATTCCAGGCCACGCCTCGCACTGTGATCAAAATTAAATTGTGTATTCAGACCAGCCAAAGCTATTTCAGTATACAAAACCGATCAAAATTATTTTTTGGAGTTACAAAATTATTCGAGTAGTCAAAGCGATAATGCTTAAGCTATTCCAAATGATTTACTTCTTTTCTTAGCTCTATTTCTTCCTTCCTTTCTTTCCTTCTTTCCCTTTCCCCCTTAAACAAGTTTGGTATCTGGGTAGCCAGACCTGTCAGGCTAACAGACCGACGAGACTTTTAACTAAGAGCAAAGGTCCACTGGACCTCTCTGACGAACAATGACGAGTAGTATGTTTCCGCAGAAGAATATGAATTCAATGCGAACTGTCAACAACTGTCAAATTAGCGGCTTGGGCCTCATCGACTTATAGTATGCACGTGCAACACAACAATGCGATGTAGAACTGCTGTTATCCGGTTTTCAATAATTTTGTTGGGAATGTATGCGGAAGCCTCAAAGTCATCCACAGATGACATCTTGTGCCAGCAACCACTGAGCAACTGAACGGGTTGCCGTAGCTTTGATTAGAATGCTTGTATTTTAATACATGTTCCGATTAGGATTGCGATCGCCAGTTGCTTTTAGTGAGGACGCTCTGTGACTGAGAATACCGCAAGTAGCGTGAAACTGCAGCACGCTCCCTAATAATGGTGAAAGAGTAGGCTTACGACAAATCTCATTTCGATGCACATTCAACATTATTTCAAGTATTATTCTCGTGAAAAAGAAATAATGTGTAACTACCGTTCTTTTCAATTAGATAATGTTCTACCAATACCACATTATTGTCATACAACTGCTCGAAAACTGTCCAGTAATTTGTTAAATGACTGACATTTCGTAGTCAATCTTATATATATTTCAACTTAAAACTCTGTATTCTTAAAAGTGTGTAGAGAAACTACTATAGTTTTTAGGTTTACCTTTTGCAACGTATAACAAAATACCTTTTCGATGGCAATTTAACTGATGAGGAAAATTTAAGATTATTTTAGAATATTTTAGTTTGCTCATAGCTTTCTTGTCACCGAGTGTTCACAGTGTATGTTGAACCAATATTAATGGATTGATGTTTTTGAAAAAGATAATATTGGTACAACTAAAAATTTTTTCATGGCATCTCGAAGTTCGGTTTTTTCGCTCTTCATGTTTCGGCGTGGTAAAACGTTGTTTAGGAGCTGAATAATTATAATTTTTTTAGCTATAGATCTCCAGCAGATTTTATATATATAAGGGTTTCAAGTATTAGTTCATGAACTCATTCGGGAGTCAATAGGTACATTTGAGTTATTCTAAAACTCATTAGCTTTTTCGTTGCAGGTAGCGAGACATTTCTACCACAAAGAAATGAAGATAGAATTAGTAAGAGAAGAACTCCTCTTCGACATGGTACATGTCACGTTCCAGTTAACATTCGACAATAGGGCCTTCACTCTAGCATCGTTAGCAATGACCAGGGAGGAGAAGCATCTACCAATCAGCGCTAGCGTTCTATTCGAAATATTCCCTTTTTGTATAGTTTTTGGGTAAGTAAGTATCGTCTGCAAGGGTAACATCTTAACAGTATTAAATTTCCATCACAACATGATCAAATTTCCTATGCCGGTTAAATTAGTTCTTAACCAAGCGATTAATGAGATTATATAATCAACAAAGCACAAACTTTGAGGTGGTGGAACGTATTAGGTTATCAAGCTAACATTCGAAACTACGCCAGTTAAGCTTGTAGTTAAAATTTGTTAAACGACAGGATATCGGCATATGAGATCGACATGCAGTGTTAGCAAACAAAACGTGTTTTGTTTCACGTTAATCCTCCCACAGCATACAGCAGCAGTTTAAGTTTATCTCTACGAGTCATGAGAAACAAAAAGTTTCTTCAAGAATAAAGAAAACCAAGTCTCTGAAAATGCATAGGGTGGTTGCAAAGTCATAATAAAATGACAAATTGATAAAACAAGAGACTCAAAAACCTGCCAGCCATAGGATAGTCATAATCACCTCAGTGATCCTTACCCTATATAATTGACCATCATGAGCAAATGATGAACATCTCTTGGTGTATAAGATCTCGGAATATCAGGTCAAATCTTGATGGAGTGGACATCAAATAAACAGACAACTCTTATTTGTAGAAAACAAGCTTTATTTCTTAGGTCTTTATCATCTTATTCTGTAGTATTTAGCATCAAGCTATTAATTAAAAATCTAATTTGTGGAAAACTGTTATGGCTTATTATGCAGCTCGTCCATCTGAATAATTCGTTCTAATTAAGCTGCTGAATGGAAGATGCTGAATAATTTCTGTGCAGCTTGGATATAATACAGGGATAATTTGACAAAGACGCCATGTAGCGTCGCGTCGAGTTACTATTGAGGTTATGTAACATTATACAAGTCTGGAATGTTCTTTACCCCCTTATAATTATAGAAAACAGATGATAATTGGGTTTGTTATCAATAGATGTGCTTGAATAACGAAACATACAGAGCTATAGGCAGACCTTCGAATAGATCGAAACGCAGACAGGCGCACCAACAAATCGACAGAAAAGAAAAATTAGTCAGCCAGATGAACTTAAATGCTTAATATAGATTTTCGCGATGAACATAACACATATATCTAAAAATCTGAACGTAAGAACCAAAACCGCCGTACTGTTTCCTAATAACTCGATGTTAACGTATAAGCTTTATTAATGCTAGTGATGCACCGATTAGAGGCACACTAAAAAATGCTACCACTTTTAAATCAAATCCAAGCGAATATCCAAAACTTCTATGTTATGTACCGCAGTTATAATCGCTTGAACGCGTTGGTTTTAACCACGGTTTTGTTGCAGGTTGTTTATTTTAGAAAGGCGCGTATATAATTTCTGATTATTTGTATTATCACTTAATACTCGGTGATTTTTCGTCTACAACAGTGTATGGAAAGCTTAAAAAAGAAACCTTTCATAATATTAATGGGAAAAATATAATTTTTTGCAGAAAATAATTTTTAATGATGGAAGTATGGCTTTGTAGCTATGATAACCTTCAATTCTCTAAACTTTTCCGCATGTCAAAGAAAACATTTATTGATTTAGCAGAAATGATAGGAAAAAGCGTTGAAAAAAGATATTAATAAAACCGAATACAGGTGGACATTATCCAGTGAGTTTCTAAGGCCATATTTTAATATTCTTTTGGTAGATGGCTACACAGGATACTTTTTTAAGCATAGGAACTAGATTTAAAGTGTCCCCAACAACAGTAATGAGTATGACTAATAAGGTGCTATACTTTATGCTACAACTGAAGTCAGCCTGTATCAAGTTTCCCAAGTACAACAAAAATATCCAATACCGGGCACAATTCTAACATTTCAAATAATAACCATGAATATAAAACTACTCCTGAGTTGGGTAAATACCACCCTTTTGTGGTAATAACTATGACATATAACATCTGATTCATGACGGCACGGATTTATAACCAAACTGATAACCACAATCGCTTGAACGAATCGGTAAATACCAATTCATGACGGCACGGATTTATAACCAAACTGATAACCACAATCGCTTGAACGAATCGGTAAATACCAATCCAAAATGGTAAATACCATTTTCATTTGGTTATTCGCTTGAATTTGATTTCAGTATAATTTGGTCTGACGGTTCGAAAACTTGTCCCTTTGGATGGATACTCAGATTCCTTTGTAATATGCAATGGCAAACTGTTCCACTCACTTCATTAGCCACCGACAGTTGCGGACTACATTTTCGCTTCCCACGCTACTGTCGAACAGTTATCGTAATCCCGGAAAAATTTGAAAGTGAGATATTACGTTTTTTGGATCTTATATGTTATGACATGGACATCGCGGAAAACTGTCACTTATTTCCGTCTGTCTGTCTGCCTGCCGGTCTGTCTGTCTATCGGTTCGCTAATCCTTGGCCGATCTACAACTTGGAAAGTACTGCTCTGATTTCAATTTCGTGCAGAGCTACTACTATGCCAAGGACGAAAAAGCATGTATATCTCAATTTCTTGTTTGTTATAGCATATTTGTATGCTTCTAACGGTATCTTTACATACCTATGTATAGATAGAAAGGTAGTTGCTGACGCTGCCCTTGCGGCTTAAAGTTTGCTTAGATACTATAGATGCATGCATAGCCTTCATTTGTCCTGAATTATGTGAGAAGTATAGAGTCAATTAAGTTAGCATCATAGAATATCAAATTAGAGAAGCAGCGAGGCATGATTTAGTATCAACCGCCAAGAGCAAAACAAAATTTACGATCGCCCCGAATATACACCCAGTCAAACTCAAAGTTGGCAATGTCTGCCCAATAAAACCACATGTATTGACATATTTTTTTAATTGTAGTAAATATTTCAATCAGAAGCTGATTTTCTTTGTGATTTAAACGTTTCAGGTGTTACATTTTTCAAAGTTGACGTTTTGCAAATAGTCGTGCTAGCAATACAATTGCTAAATTTGAAAGAATGAAAAATCTCTGCATTATAGCTCCTGTTGATGCTTTAAAATGCACCATAGTGCTTCTGTGAGCAGATTGCAGTTATTAAGCTATGCTTTTGAGATTCGAATACGACCGGCCAAAATTTTGGGTATTGTGTATTCCATTGCTACTTGAAGATCCAATTCAATATCCGTCTGTGCTTCTGACCGCCAAATGAAACTGTAGTAGTAGTAGTGACGTGGAGCCGAAGCCTTAGCTTCTAAGCTAACCTTGACCTTTTTTGCCGACCCCGTAGTACCAATGCTCTATATATACTACACAAGCCATCTTCTGTTAGCTGATTATTAAATAAACTAGATTCAGCGATGAGATGTACCTAACTTTAATATTGCACCCACATGCGTGATATAAACAACACTAACCAGACATCCATAGCACGGAATTAACTTTCGATGCAGAGATTTGAACCCGCTAGCCCCAGCTTGCTAGCTCGACGCCCAATCACCGAGCTACCGAGACTCCAAAAATGAAGCGGTAAACGTAGAATTAAAGAACTTACTAACTAGTAGATGTTTTCTTTTTAGATCTGTGGTTTCATTCGACGGTTAGTAGAGCATGGGAATAGATCAGCAAGACAAGCACAGGATAAGTTTTAAAGTTACATGCACCATGCTTATATGATCACCTTTGTTCCAGCTCAGATATGTTAGTCCGTAGTATTGGAAATTCGTTGATGGTGATCCTGCCGGACCTAGTCGGAAAGAAGATAACTAATTGGTTCGATTTGGTCCGACCACTCATATCCTTCAAATTCGGTTCGGTAAGTATAGATAAAGTTTCTTGTGTATACAGATGTTTTTAATAAACTTGGACTATAAGACAATTTTATAAAATAAATTTACATTACGAAGCTACTATTGCCGCAATAACATTTTCATGTACAAACCATTTTTGTTAAAATGAAAAATCTGTGCCACCTTTTTGCATTATTTTTCGGTGAAATATTAGTTGTGAGATAAGATATTTAGAAGCAAAGGTCACAAAAGCATCTACCAATTGATGAGCGCATGACTGTAATGGGAAACAAGATGACACCATTAAATTTTGTAGTTTCAGCTATCTATGAAGTTAAAATAAAATTTGTTCATACTAATGGTACAGTAAAATTAAGCCGGATTTTGATAAAGTTATGTAATATTCAAGTATTGCTATTCTGGCTAAAACCACTATCATTATAGATATTTCAGGATGAGACTCTCCATGCTAGCAAAAATCATTTCCGATAGTCCCGAACGATCATATATAGCAGAGAAGCTCGTAGCAAGCCAACATCATAACATTTATTTGTATGGATGTCTGTATATAGTATCTGATAGTCTGAAAATGGAAATAATTTAATAAAAGTATCGACTCGCTACCGGTGGCAAAGTAATTTGTAGAATGCGTGAGGTACAATACATCAACCAGACTATATAATGGATTTTGGGATGTGTTCATTATGTAATCCTATCGGCATTCAACCTAAATTGTGTCAATGTTGAATACGAGTATAAACAAAAACTCTCCGTTTCATATTTCAATAGTCTGATAGCTTATTTGGGAACGGAAAATTAATTATGCTTTTTGATGACTTAATTAATTTATTTACATACAATTTTGCCAATGTTTAGTTTTAATTTGATAATTATTTGAGAAGTGAATAGTAAATAGTGGAATCAACAGGTTGCCAATTACTGTTAGGAAAATAGAATTTTGCAAACGTTTTTACACTCAAATAAATCAAATGCAACTCAGAGTCACTTTAGCTGCACAGAAATTCTCAACGTTGTTAGCAATATATGCAACTAAGGCGTGCCTGGTCTCAGAATTTTCGAAAAAACCTAGATTTTCACTATGGCCCGAAATAACCAGAAAGTGGAAAAACGTCAAAAAACATTTGTACTAGGTCAAAAAAAATCAGAAACTCAGAAAATATTCAAGAGAATAACGGATTCAAATTTTCAATTTTACTTGTTCCTATGCCTTTAAGGTGTTCTATCATGGGTACAGCAAGAACCATCCGTCACAATTGTATTATAATCCGAGCAGTAACTTCCAAACTTTAGGTATGAAGGTCATTGTAGCCTTTTTGCTGAAGTCCCTTGTTCTGACTCAAAACAGTCATCCACATTCAGTGTCTGTTTGGTCCATAGTATAATTAAGCATTTGAGTAGTGAACAATGTGCATGTCAACGCAGTTAACACAAATTACTTTAAGTCAACATTTGAGAAGGTTCAATCAATTAATGGACAATCAAATATCTAAATAATAAAACCTTAAAATCCAGTTGTGAAGGAGGAAACACACAAATGTGTAATTTCCCCTTGGATATTGTCATCTGTCTAGAATCCTAATTAGATCATAATTACCCCACTAATTTTCACTCGGAAACTCAACCCAACCTGGTCTTCGTGTACAGGCGTTACCTTGTCAGTATCTATACTAAGTGACATATAAATCCGAACACCCAGTTTAAATGGTTTTGTTTTAATAAAAGTTGGTGAATGTATTTATCTTACTGTAAATAACAAGTGAAAAAATTGTCAGCCTTATCAGTTGGACATTCCGGTTTTTATACTGCTTTTTTTAATTCACTAACGCTCTAAAAATGAATATTTCAGCCGCAGTAAAGAATCAACGTTGGCGGATTTTGGTTCTTGACATCCTTTACGATCGGTTACGATGCCTAGAGTACGCAGACCTGTACGATTTCGTCAACTTAGTGAGTTTGATAGGGGCCGTATAGTGGGACTTCGGGAAGCTGGACTTTCTTTTCGGGCAATTGCAGTTAGAATGCAAAGAAGTGTAGACACTGTGGTTAGGTGTTGTCAGGCATGGCTTCGAGAAGGCCGTACGCAAAGAGCAAGGGGCACTGGACGCCGCCGTAGAACAACAGACCGTGAAGATCGCCGCCTAAGATTATTGGCCTTAAGGTACCGTTTCTCCACTACCAGCTCCATTGCAAATGAATGGTTTGCAGAACACGGAAGACCTATTGGCATGCGAAGAGTTTACCGACGAATGAGAAGTTTTGGCTTGTTTTCATACCGGCCACACTGGGTCCTCCCTTTAACTCGAGAACACCGACGTAAACGCCTTGAGTGGTGCAGACAACGGTCACTCTGGGATCAGAAATGGAACAGTATTGTCTTTAGTGACGAGTCTCGATTTTGTTTAGGTATGCACGATGGTCGTGCCAGGGCTAGAAGGCGACGTGGTGAAAGGAGGAATCCACAGTTTTTTGTTGAAAGACATGTTCATCACACTGTTGGAGTTATGGTTTGGGGTGCTATAGCTTATGGTTCCAGGTTACCTTTAATCTTCATCAGAGGTAACATGAACGCGCAGCGTTATATCCACGAAGTTCTAGAACCTCATCTTTTACCCTATCTTGACACCCTGGCAGATCCAACTTTCCAACAAGATAATGCCCGACCACATGTTGCAAGAGTCACAATAGACTTCTTCCAACATAATGATGTCACATTGTTACCATGGCCACCAAGATCTCCCGACTTATCTCCAATTGAGCACGTGTGGGATATGACGGGTAGGAGATTGCTCAATTTGCAACGTCCTCCTCAGACTCTAGAAGCACTTCGAGAGGAGTTGGTGGTTGCCTGGAATGAGATACCACAGGAGGACATTGACCACCTGATCAGAAGCATGCCTAGGCGCGTTGGAGAATGCGTAGCACATCAGGGTGCATCCACACATTATTAAAGGTCAAAGGGCTTTAAAGCAGTGCAATCATTTTGAAATTTTTATCATTTACTTATTATGCTTCATTAAGTACTTATACAAAATTTTATTAAAGTAAAACCATTTAAACTGGGTGTTCGGATTTATATGTCACTTAGTATATTTGGAGGTAAATGAGGTAAGTGGAACACGATAAAAATTTGACTGTACGTCCGCACGACTATTACGTATCTTGAAAAGTGACATTTTCTCGTTTTTTTTCACATTTCGTAGGTTTTTGTGACATAAAGTAGTTTTTTTTTACAAGAAATCAACTTAGCACAAGCTGTTGTACACTTGCTGTAAGCTCGTTATGTAGCTGTACGTATTGTTTAAACGTCAGCGAACATTGATCATAGCGAGCAAACGTGGAATGAACTAATTGCACACTTAAAACTACCTAGTATATAAGATGTCATTTCGTTTGTTTTTTTACGTTATTTAGGTTTTTTACATAATAGCCCTGCTGTTTTGAAGATTCATGAGAGAGCGTTATTTGAATCTGTCTGTTTATATGTATAGGATGGCGTAAAATGGATGGTATGGTTTGAATTACCTACTCATGACATGACTATTTATAAGATATGCCACTAATTTTTTAGGAACCAGTAGAGAAGTTTAGAAGAATTTGATATGAATTGATACACCAGAGGGCAATGTATCATAACAGTCATATCTTATTTTTATACTCCGGGATCAGTAGTTCATTTCGTTGCTACATCAATTTAAGACTTAAGAACCAAGTACTAAGGATAAGCCATCCCAATTAAATTTTCAGAAACAGAGTACAGTATTTGACACTGGCAACGCTAGAAGACGATGCACAGTTCTGATGGGTGGAACTGCTAAACGTTTATGTGAACGTCTGCAAAAAAGTTTTCATTGCCGATGCACCAAATCGAATAAAGCTCCACTTTCTAACGGTAGCTGTCAAAAGCTATCTAAATCTGAGGTTTAAAACCAAAAAGCAGCACGCTCTTTCAAAGAGTACTCAGCGGCTATGTTAAGGAGGTGCTTGAGGACCTAATCGTTTGGCGGAAAGCCAATTTAAGTTGACTCCACATTCATCGGAGTTTACCCCACCTGGGTGCTACGTTTGAGGATATTTGAATACCTACTATTTTATAAATCAGCTAAGCACATGATCTCGAGGGTGCAGCCACAAAGCTTGTGCTTCTTAATTAGTCTTAATTAGTCAGTCAAGGCTACCCTCCTCCTGTTAGGTTAGTTAGGACAAAATACGATCTGATTTTCTATCATATCGATAGAGGGCGAATAGTCATCAGGGTGCACAGAAGTCTAAATCCATTGCTGATTTCTTGTTAGGCATGGAATCAGGAAGTCACAACGAGTTAAAGGTATAAGGCATGTCAGGAGATCGACCCCACACCAAAATCAACGCCTTAGGCTCTTGGCTATACCGGACCGCATTTTGTCACAAGGTCGATAGGTTCCAAGAGTTTGGAGAGAATGGAAAGCCTTTTACAATGCGAATTGTTTATCGTCTGATCACGAGCTTAAGACTTACTTCGTAGCGTCCTGTTTGTCCTACTTCTCACTCCTAGGCACCGAGGTGAACGACTGGGTTCGTGCACAGAGCGACTGATCTGGAGCTTGAATGGAACATCAGCGCCTTTAGTGATGAATCCAGATTCTGTTTGAGGATGCGTGATGGCTTGGCAAGGGTGAGAAGGCGACGAGATGAAAGGCGAAGCTTACAATTTTCTATGGAAGTGCATGTGTATCACACTGTTGTCTTTAGAAACAGGTTACCTTTGGTGTTTATCAGCTCACCAACCCACTTTTCCAACAAAATAATGGGCGACCACATATAGACAGAATTACGTGTGTGCATTTTGAAGACGATCCAGTTGATTTGTTGTCTTAGCACCTAGATCTCCCGATCTTTTACCCATTGAACACGTCTGGGACATTATGGAAAGAATATTGCTCCGTTTACCCCATCCTCAACAGACTTTAGCGGCATCTCACCACGTGATACAAGTAGCATGGGATGAGATACCTCAAAAAGAAATCGATCGTGTTTTTAAGTGCACGACATCGTGGAGGCCCAAGAAATTATTAATACTTAATTTGTTTGACGGCCGTAATTTTCATAAATTTTGATCAATTACCTAGCCCAACAAATAGTTGTAATAAATTTATCACTGGGGGTTCTTTTTTCTATACTACTTAGTATATTAAATCGAACTCATTCCACATGTTATTCCAAGTTGGCGTTCGGAAATAAACCATATAATCCAATTGAAGACAGAATTGCGTGGAAAGTACACAGTCAACTTTCTTAATACCATTTTTAGTAAGTCTGGATATGATATTCTGAGTGATATAAATAGCTGTTTCTCTTATTTTATCGCTTTCACCACCAGCATAATACACAACTACTATCTAATCCCCTACCAGAAAAGGAATCGAGACTATAGACCAATTAACCCAGTTTCTGTTGCGTGCTCACATGAAACAAGAGAAAATTAAATTAATTTGCTGAAAATTCTAATTTACTAGATCTTACGATCATCCGCAGCGGTTGCCTTTTACCTAGAGGAAACTGCTTCAAGCAGGGTTTACCCTAAAATGTATGGTAAAAAAGGCAATATATAATAACATACGAGTATACTTATAAAATGTCATCAAAATCATTGAAAAGCTTAAATATACATTTATATATTCGTTATCGTCCTTTTTGTAGAATATATTCAAACTAGTGGCACATCGTTGAAGATTGTTTAACAATTTGATAGTTGAAGTTTTGAGTTGGTCGTAAAATCCCTTGAAAATTCTGCAGCTGCACATAGGTCGATTTTCTTAACTATGCCTCAATCGTACATGGATCATTGTTTCCAGGATAGTTGCATGTATGCTATAAAACGCTCACCTTCAAGTTGCTCTATTTTCCTCACATGGAGTATAAAAATGTACAAATACGTACTGGGCGTGTTAAAACTTAGGCTGAAACTAAGACCTGAAAAGTTATTCGAGATGAAATTTAATATTCAAGCTATAGTATGTAGCAGACGTGAAGGTTATGATTATAGGGTATAAGAGTATATGAAGCTTGAAAAAGGTAATCCAGCTATTGCTGGTCAAGCCCAGAAGTGTAGTTGTTTGAACTATGTACTAGTATACTCTCCTCCATATGCATTTTTGTTAAAAGCTGGACTGTATGTTTGACGTATTGTCAAAAGTCCTCAGTTTTCATGCTCGTATTACACTATAAAAGAACAACAGATGACATACATTGTCTTTTCCCTGTGGATACACATTAAAACGGTATTTCTAAAAGCTAAAAATTGACCACCCCCTCCTCATCTTTTCTTAGACTTTTCCCAGCAACACAGGTGGGTTCCGTACCCAGACTGCATGGCTTTTGAAATTACGTAAGATTTTAAGACATATTTGGCTCAATACTGTTTTCATCATTTCAATCTATAATTACTTTTTGGCGCATTCATTATGGACCACCCTATACAGCTTTATGTATAGGCAGACGTTTAGTTGAAATAGTTTCCAGCTTTTCACAAGACGACTATTTTCTGTAAATTCTTGGTTTCATCTTTCCATATATTGAAAGAATAATCCAATAAGTCAGTGGAGAGTATTTAGTATACTTACCAGTATTTTTATGTATTTTCTTTAGATCGTTCTATTCTGGGAGTCGATCGGCGAAATTTTTTACAACGTACAAACAGGGATGCTACAAGGCAAACCACATAAAAAATGGTCGGGATAAGCGGTGAAGTCAAAAAAGGTTTTCTGTAATGAGGAAACGCCTTTTAAGCTTCTCGTCCCTACGGTTTCATCCTAAGTATCTCTTTCACTCTGTCAGACCTTCCTTTTTACATAATGACGAATAAGGTGGATTTTCTAGGGCAATTTTTGTCCGCTTTCATGTAATTTTCTCCCTTTTATGCTGCGTTGGCATGGACAGCTTTTGCCTGTATGTTAGAAACACACGCAAAATAAAGCTATAGAAATACGAGGCCTTCTATTCCAAGGGTGGGCTTAATTTGAGACTTCCTCACCAGATTGAGGTCTTGCAATTTTATACACACACTGTTAAGTCGGGCTGAGCGAAAAGGGCGATACTGTTGGAAAAATGTGTGATATATGATTTTTTTTCAATAATAAAATTGGTGAGGGTTCTCAGTATAAGGGCCAAGGTGTGAAAGTAAGTTAACTGGTTACTGAAAATTAATTTGGCAATCAAATCGTACGTATACTTCCGTTTTTTCATAATAACTCTTGTGAAAAGCCAAATAGTAAAGAAAAAATCTTCATGAGAATCAATTTGAAAAAATGCTAGTTATTATTTCAGGTTTTTTTTGCTTAAAAAATCGTTGCTTGGTAAGTTTTTTCTGAGGTTATTCATCTTGCGTTGTAATATGTACTAGCGCCTTGGAAATGACCATCTCTCATTTTCTGGAATCTTATATTTTTAACTCGAAAAGGATGAACTCACACGGACCTATTTGACAAAGACGTTTAACAGAATCTAGTAGGATCAGTAACCCGTTTTTTAAAAAGCAATTTTGTAACTTTTGTGTAGGCGACAAGTTAATCAGTTGGTTCTTGTTTTGTGGGGCGATTTTGTTATGGCAAAAAATCTAATGGTGATATTTTTCCAATGCAACCGCCATTTTTCTCCTGTCGCATTAGGGTATAAGCAAACGGATATGAGTGTTATATGATAAAATGAGCCCAAAAATGTTGTATCAGGATCTGGTTGGGAAAATATCGTGCCTTGATTCAATCCTCTCAAAATGTCTATGCGCTCCTTCCGTACTATAATTTTGTTAATTTTGAATAAAATCAAAAGCGGAGCCGCTATTATGCACCTACCTTTACGCTGCGATGAGAACTTAACCTGCAACAAAAAACTCAGGTTGAAATTTATTACCATACGTTACCCATAACCATATTTAATTACATGGGCACGTACAATCAAAATTAAAGTAAAAGTAGATCAGAACATTTCGTTTCCGAGATGGACATATGCGTTTGTTGTATAACCTCATTTCCAAGTTTAGAGGAGGTCATGAGCATGTGAACTCAGTGCCTCACACCATACACGTACTTTCCCTTGAAGTAGTAAAGTATTATGGAATAGGTTTTGTCGCTTCGAAACTAGAAGGATTAATCTTAATAGAGTAGCATATGTGTAGGGTAATTAAGCTGCCAAACAAAAGAGAGACAATTCAAAAAAATAAACATTCTCGATTTTTTAGCTCTCATCAAAAGCGCTTATAAGCCTAAAGATTAAATAAGTCTTCTGTCATTATGGTCCATCCAAGGTCCAAAATGTGAGAGTTTATCATTTGCGTATGCATAAGGAGATATATAGTGTAATTTACATAAAAAATAATACGAGAAAAATATTTCAATCGTAATCATCTCAAAACTACGTATAGTCTGGCTATGAGGTAGAGATATATGTTTACATGTTCTTCTCTCTTGCAGATGAACATGATGGAGTTGGCGGAGTTTTCAAGTGGCTTTTATTGTCAGTAACTCTTTACTCAATAAATCTATTTTATGATAAATATATACTTTGAGTACTGAATTGGTAAAATACATAAATGTTCTGGAAGTGGCCTGGATGGGGTATGAAAAAGAGGCTTCAGGATTATTCACACGCTTCTTGAAAATACTATTTAACCCATCACCGCCAACTTAGAGAGTTTAAGTACGTCACTGTTTAGATAAACGCAGTTTGTTTCAGATACTCAACCGGACGAACAACATCTTCGAGCTGGTGACTGTCGAACCAATACTCAACGACAATCCACCAGCGGAATGCCGAAGACATGATGTGGCGCTGAGCGATGAAATGGAACTCTCTGAAGATAGGAACCTAAGACTAAAAGGTATATACCTATTCTGTATTTTGTACTATAGGAAGAGAGCTTTCCCTTTTACAGCCGCCTATGTCTAACAAGCCGCGAAGTACGCAACTTGGCAACCTGTACGACCCTACTCCGAACCACTCTCATTGCATTTTACTTATAATTCACTTGTTTTTAAGCGATATAAAGTATTGGTTATCAAGAAATTCCAAACATGCTATGTGTGATTCCAAAACGCACCAGTCCTGGATGCAAATTCAACTATGCGACTTCGTTGAATCATTATATCTGTCCAACCACACAATACTCGTGATACAGATTTTGCAATGTGGTAGCCCGTGGCATAATTGTTAGTGTCATACATAATTTGAGCGATGAGAAAACTAAAACAATTCTTCAATTTGTAATAGATCAGTTACTGCAATCAGTATCAAAGAACATACCACATTCTCTAGAAACAATTTTGTTTTTATCGATAACTGACAGTCAAACTTTATGTATGAATTTACTAACCAAATGGTGCCTTCAAATAATCAAATCATCACTTCATGATGATGAGTTTTTCATAGATCTTTCGATGTTCGTTGGAGGTGTTACTCCAACCAGAATAATGAATTTTAAAGTTTTTCAGTATAGTCCTGCACATTTTTTCCGGAAAAAAATGTTTATTATACGTCTTCAAAGAACAAAAACCTGCAAACAGTATATCGTTGGAGATTTTACTATATTTCATATTATTTGAAACAGTGAGACTTTCCTATTATTTTTCTTAGGCTACTCAGTGCGCTTTTATTTTGTCACATTATATTAATTCTGCATTAATCATCAGCGATAGAGTTATGGATAAAGAAATTAACCTGCTTCCTAAAATTCTAAGTTTTTTCAAGATTTTATTTTTGTGTGTAGTCACTTTGGAACGACAAAAATCCTAAAAAAATCATAATTACATTTTCTGTATATTTTAAAAACTTTTTTGTTCCAGGTCAGATGATATACATGGACAACTGGAAAATGATGATGTACCTTGGAACGCCTGTGATGCCAGATCTCAACTCTCTAATAAATTCCGGACTGTACATAAATGACCTTTCAATGCACGACTTTAGTCGGTAATTATCACCCAAACATAGATGTTAAAATGTATACCTACTATCCGTTCTAAATTATTGTCCAGTGGATGCGACGGAAAAGGTATAGTTTACTTCGGAGTAAATACAGGAAGCCTCGATTCTTTAGAACGGCAGCTACTATCGCATCTGGTCAAATATGCGATTTATATCAAGGTTTGATATTAAGACAAGACGATAAGCTAAGGTTCTGTATCAACAGTCAAATACGTTAGAGGCTAGTCGAAAAACAAGATTGGGAGTTAAACGTGTGTACAGGTCCAGAAAGCTCTGTCACAGATGGTTGAGCCATTAACACATTCCAAAAAACTTTTGTGACAAATAACATTGTATCTTAATTTTGGACAAAAAACAACTATAAAATTAGGATTTGAATGAGTGAAATACGAGTATATAGTTTATTATTTTCTCATTTCTCTCATTTCTCATTAGTCTCATTGAAGTTTAGTATGATATCAAGGTTTTTGCCAATTTTATTTTATAAACTTGTCTCCACCAAAATGATGTAAGTAAAATAGGTATGTCTCAAGCAAATAATTTTACACGTAGCAAGCAGCAATTTATGCTATCTAGTAAAGCAGGAAAATTCAAACTCTAGAAGTTTAATGGCAGGCTGTGTCATAATGATCAGAATCTCATCTATACATATGTGAAGAGAAAAAAAATGAATATAGTCTTAATTCGTTCTTTTTGTGTTTATATATTAATTAAAACTGTTACAATAATACAATACTAGAAAACATCTTTTATAGAGTCTTAAATTCTCTTAAATTCCTAACGATTCCCAGAATAGATATTTCCTGCTGCAAGCACTTCAGCTATTCTCTAGTAGCAAATATATTTTATAGCGGAATTTAAATCTTCGGTATCTCTGGAATCTGGAAGACGGCATAAGGAAGTAAATCTTATAGCGAACTTAGTCCGGATTTTATGCACTGATGCGTCGGTATCCGTCGGTATGTAATACTAAGTTTGAAAACAGTCATACCATGCCGATAGCACCTTATTATACGTTAAAAACACTCCTCATTAAAAGCTGACTCTTAATAAATATATCCATGGTATAGTTGTAGTCACCGTTCTTGGCGGTTACGTCATCAACGCCATATGAAATAAGTAAACAGATCGAGTCTTCATACCATGGGCGGATCTTAAGCGCAGAGGTCGTGATATGTTGTCCTTTACTTCTCATATCGTAGAAAGTATTCCTAATTTCTGTTTTGACGGCATCATTTACATCATCGGTCTTGCATTTTTTGCGGTGACGACAACTATAAGAAAACTACTAAAGACGAAAGTATGTCAAGAATTGGATAGGTTGGGTTTGGTAGGATTTCCGTCACTGTTAATAGGACACTATTCTGACAATAATTAGTTTGAAATAGTATATTAATGTATATAGAAGTATTATGCCTTTCAGAGGTATCTTCTTCAAGAAACCGCCAAGAATAAGTTAGTATTATTTAATAAAACTTCTATTAGGATCATGGCCGCCCCAGGGAAAATTTGCCTCCTCCTTCTCTTCAGAAATATTTGGTGCTCATAGCTGTCAAATGGTTTCAAGATCAAGTAGATAGGAAGTAGTAGCCTTCATGTCGTCAACACATCATTCTCGTCATCCTTTATACACATAGCAGAGAGACATATACACTATACTTGAGGTAGAATTGAGCGTATTTGCGGCAGGCTGCAGATGATCAACCTTAATTAAAGTTTTTCCTTACTGTCGAACTTTAACATATACGGTAATTGAACCTTTCCGTTTATAAGAGTGGTTGGAGTATTATGGAATCTGGGCATATATGAACAAAGCAACCTTATGTATCACGCACTTGATTGTTTCTCTCATTTTTCTTGATTGCTCAGCTTTTCTGTCACAGTGACAGCCTAAATAAATACCAATGCAGCAATTAAACACAAGTATATCCCTGTTTCCCTGACTTCTCAATGCATAATCTCAAAGTAAAGTGGCACAACATTATGAACGATTTTGAAGTGCAATAATATACTCTGAAGAGAACCCTGTTGCTGGATTTTTTTGAATGAGGAATCTGTTCTTCCTCTATTGACATCAATTTTGCTTGCTCTTACCTCACTCTCATTTTAGAGACCTCATGTTGGCGGGCACCCAACAATCGGTAGAGCTGAAATTAGCTTTAGACCAGGAGCAGCAGAAGAGCAAGAAGCTAGAGGAGTCTATGAGGAAGCTGGATGAAGAAATGAGGAGGACGGACGAGCTGTTGTACCAGATGATTCCCAAGCAAGTGGCTGATCGTCTGAGGAAGGGAGAGAACCCAATTGACACCTGTGAGGTAACGTGGAAGAAAGAATTTTGTCCGTTGTTTTGATGTATCAAATTAGAAAGAAAATTATCTATTCAGTTTGTGGCAGAATGTTATGTTTCCAAAATGTTGAAAACCCTTATGATGAAAACGTCGGATGTACACAAACAATTACTAGATAAGAGCGTTTCAGCCAATTTCTGCTGAAAATCATTATGTTGCATTGATCGATTGGTACACCAAGTATATCAGTTTTCTAAGAGCAAGGCAAGGTATAAAGAATCATTAAACACTTCTTATTGGAGAGTAAGCAAAAATACCAGTAAAAAAACTTTCCCAAAGTTGAGCAACAGATACTGAAACAGAACCTCCAGTGGTCGTCTATTTGTTTTTCTCCTACTTTCTACTTTCTAAACTCCGAACACGTGTTTTCATTAGATCTACCAACCCTACAAGGATTTCAGTTTAAACGGAAGAGTGATGAAAACTTATGAAACCTGATATTTTCTCGCTATTGCCTAAATACACTACATCTTTCAAGGCCAGGCTTTTGTGTGCAGTTTCGTATACAGCTAAATAATTGCCCGGGATAGATGAACACGTGGATTAATTGAGACAACGAACATATAAAGTTAAGGCAATGTGGAAGGACAAACAACTTAGGATTCCATCGTTGGATGTAATTTGAATCTATTGTAGAAAACTTAGTTCACTTCGATCAGAAACGATTTGCACTAATGTGACTGTTTTGTGCTGGAACGAAATTTCATTTTGAGGCGTTCTCGGAAGGTCACTGGCAGTATCATGATCAATATTCTAACAAATATTACCAGAATGGTTAGCTAAGGTGGATGGGCCGTAGAACGCCAAGCTCTTTATAAGGTCCATTATTAAAAAGTCGTAGTTATTGACATTCGATGGCAAATATCTTCTACTCACATTAATGCGCGTTGTTATTTTATCAATATGGGCCCTCGTTTTGTTGTCTTCGGCCGTCGACGTTAATATTATGATACGGGCACGCAGCAAAACGTAAGTTTTTGAGTAAATTCAAATTTCCTTACGTAAGAATTGATAGATAAGTGTTTCCTATGGTACTAAAGAAAAAAGTGCTGTATCTAGTATTGGAACAATACAGTCGTTGTACCTGGAGGCAACGAACAGATGAAATTAATACATTAATACTTTTCTTCAGTTTACCATCAGATTGACATTTTTAACAATACTGTACGCTCTTACTTTTTTGTACAGTATCTTTAGCTTTTGTCAGGTTGAGTCAGATTGTCAAGAAGCTGTGCTTTTTTAAAATCTTCTTATGTTGTTCTCATAACGCATTCTGTGATTCAAATGTGTGTAATAATTTCATATCTAACACACATCATTAATTTGTACCTAAAGTAAAAAATCCAAAATGTAAATCTGATCTGCATCCTATCAGTCTTCTATCTGTGATTATAAAAAAACTAATAAAATAGTATACTGACAAATTATAACCTATACAACAATTACGGCACCACAACAGTAATTTTAAATCTAATCGATGAAGTCGTTTGAGTACGTGATGTAAGCTTAGCTTCAAGAATAATATCACTAGATTACTCAAAAGCATTTGATTGCATAGATCATAAGCTCTTATTTGCTTGAGCTGAAATATTATGGCTTTAATGAGAGCTCTGTAAAATTCTTCAAAGGTTACAAGGTCGAAATCAACAAGTGGCAATAAATAGTTCAGCTTATCCAGTTTTCAAGGTCATATCGGGAGTTCCAATTCAAAACTCAATTTTAACGATCTCCCATGTTTGTCGACCCAATTAAATTTTATATATTGTGTACGTTTTCGTTCCCAACTATGAGCTTCTTCAGAATAATTGACATTTTTTTGACAATATGTTATTTATCTGTCTTCCAGATGACACTTCATTTCTTTTTTCGTTTCATTTCCACATTCTTATCCAGTGTGTTACTACAACAGTAAGACATTCCTGCTCCCAAAAAGACGTCTAGCACTCGAAATCGACAAGCGAGCATGGGTCTATCTGTCAATTGTTAATGTACCAGATACGTCACCCTCGATTATCATTCCGAAAACGTCAAACACGCAATTCGATAATGATTTGTAATTCTTTTCGGAAAATCTTAAGTAATTATTTAGGTGGTCGGCAGATTGCTTTTGTGGCTATCTAAAATAGACAGTTGTTTGCACTGCTGCTACCTCTCCAACTATAGTATCCATAACACGTCCAAATATCTTTTTGGCCCGGGATTCTCCAATTCCATCTATCGTAAAATCCAATCAAAAAAATGTTTTTAAGACTACCGATAAGTTTGTTTTCTTGCAAAGTGAGAGTAAAACTACGCATTACGTATTGCTGAATAACTGATTCAACATTTGTTATTCAATAACAAATGTCTCTTGACCTTGTAACATTTACAGCCGCCATTATCTCTTTCACAGAGGAAAAACTTCCATTTTGATTAATTTTGGTCCGCCTTTGAGTCAAAAACGTTTAATTATTTTCGCCCGTGCGAACACAAGCAACTCCACCGTATTTCGGGCCAGCAAAAGCAGTTATAGTTGCTAAATTATATCGTCTGGGTTGGTAACTATTATTCCAGGCATAATGAAACACTAAATCCGAGAAGTTAAGATTGCTGGGAATAAGATAAGAGCAAATTAATTTTCTCGCTCGATCCGGCTAGCTACACTATAAATGTTTATACTGTCTGGTGAGCGACAACAGATCCATGTCTGCATGTACAATGAATTTATATACAAGTTAACAGCAACTTAGTTTTTTTGCACTGTATATTTTTTTGTGTTACTAGGAGTCATTATAATAACAATCGAAATCGCATATGGACCTTTTTTTAAACAAGTTATTGTTTTTTGAGAAATGCACTCTTAATTACTTAGGAACTACCATCAACGTAAATGTTATTACAGTTTTTGAGGACCTGAGATTTAGTCGCAGCAGCGAAATTTATCCAACAAACGATTCCGCGTACTAAAGAAAGGGAACGTGGCGGTTTGCAAGCCAGACCCATTTTAATTTCTACCAGTGCGTTTCTGTCAAGTAGATTAACTTACTACGTACTAGTTTGATTTCCGTAATTGTGCTTGAAGTGTAACCGATGTCTCGAGGGTAGTTGTGACTTATTTTACAAACTTCCATTTTCTACATTCACTTATTCAGTGTCTAGCAGTTCTTGCCCTAATAGTATAATTTAGTTCTCCGACTATATTTGTAGACGTAATCATTATTTCGGCTAATGATGAAATGCGTAACTATGATTGTGTATTGATACCCCTCTGCTAAAGCTTAGCATTAGGTTTATTACTATTTCACCAGTAGCCGAGATGTTATCTCTCATAATAATAATATATGCATCAATACCGAGGTTGATAATTTCAAGTAATAAGTGTTAACGTATGGACTCAGTATATGCTTCCAGGATTTAATTTCGCTGTTCATTAAGTAACAAGAATCGTTTCGCCTTCGAGGCATAATACTCGTATATTCGTCCAATAAGTGATCACTCCTTTTTATGAGACTACTTATTTGATTGCTCCTTTTCTCCATATCTAAGTGTCAGTGAGATCTATCATCGTGCAACATAGTTCTACAATATCTTGTTCAACGATAAGAAAGTTAGATTGTGTTCGGCTATGAGACATGAAAGTGAGGAATGGTTACTAATTGTTAGGGTGGGAAATCCCCTATTAGAGGTAATTGTTAAGTAGTTACAAAAATATCGAAAACTGATTTACCCCTATAATCATATTTATAATAATAATATAATTATATAATAATTATAATTTTAGGCTCACTATCACACCTTGAAAAAAAATACGTCAAATTATCATAAAGTCTATATACTAGAATATATTCAAAAAAACAATTTTGGTTGAAAAAAACAGGTCAATACACGATTTTGTTTTATGTTGAGTACCTGTGATCTTGCAGTTAAATTCATTAAGCCCCACCGTGATATATGCTGATCAATTCACACACCAGGCGACACTATTACTACAGGGTGGGGCAAAAGTCGCGAAGGGATTTGAAAAATTAATAACTTTTTTAAATTTTAATTTTAATTTTTTTCCCTAACACAAAACTAAAATGCAATGTTTGGAGTTTGTTTACAATTTAAGTGTGAAAGATTACATCACGCAAATGACCGCCATTTTCAGCCTCGCAAAGTGCAGCTCTTGCAAGAGCATTTTCCATTACCCGAGTCAGAATATCTGGCCCCAAAGCACTTACTTCTGCTCGAATATTATCTTTTAGTTGCTGCAGGGTTGTGGGTTTATTAATATACACTTTTCCTTTCAGATATCCCCAAAGGAAATAATCAGGGACTGTTAAGTCCGGCGAGCGGGCGGGCCAATTGAATCCTGAATTTCTCGAAATTAAACGTTCGCCAAAAATCTGCCTTAGAAGGTGCATAGTGGCTCGAGCAGTATGCGCAGTGGCTCCATCTTGTTGGAAAGTCATCGTTTGATTGTCAGCAAGAGCTGGTCTTAAGAAATTTTGAATCATATCACGATATCGGTCGCCATCTACAGATACAGCATTCCCATCGTGGTCTTCGAAGAAGAATGGTCCAATAATTCGTTGAGACGTAACTGCGCACCATACTGTACATTTAAGCGGATGTAATTGCCTTTGATGAACCACCCTTGGGTTCTCGGTACCCCATATTCTGCAGTTCTGCTTATTTACGAAGCCATTCAAATGAAAATGGGCTTCATCGCTCATGATCAGAGAATGAATAAATTCATTATCTTCTCGAGCCATTCTTTGCAAGCGAACTGCATAAGTTAGTCGTTCTTGAAAATCTGCTGGTTTTAGTTCTTGCACTAGCTGCACTTTATATGGAAACAGATGTAAATTTCCTCTTAATATTCTGCGTAAAGACCTTTGAGACATCTGCAGCTCAGCAGAACGTCTTCGGGTTGAGGTTTCCGGATTCTCCTGAACACTCTCCTGAACGCGTTGAATGTTCCCTTCATTTCTTGCGGAACGTGG